GGACCGGACCGGGCCGAGCCTGTTTGGGTTTATATAAATACATAACTATGGTTTGAGGTCCATTAAGATTTTCATTATTCTTGCTGGCACAAGAGAAAACCCTAGAGGCTGCAATCATATTCTCTGTGTGGATCACCGTTGGAGGCTGGACAATTGGACAGCTGTGGTGGCGAATCAAAGTTGTGGAACGAAAGGGCCGAGCCTGTTTGGGTTTATATAAATACATAACTATGGTTTGAGGTCCATTAAGATTTTCATTATTCTTGCTGGCACAAGAGAAAACCCTAGAGGCTGCAATCATATTCTCTGTGTGGATCACCGTTGGAGGCTGGACAATTGGACAGCTGTGGTGGCGAATCAAAGTTGTGGAACGAAAAGAAAAGCAAAAGGATTGCAGATCTGGAAAAGGTACAATCCTATCACAATTCCTAACCAAACACAATGAGATCTATTGGATGGGAATCGAAATAATTTAATTTTCCGCTGTGCATGTATAAGTAGATTCCCAACATAAACAATAGAAACCAATGGTATAGGTTATATCTTTGAGCAGCCTATTATTATGTATGCAATAGAATAAATCATTGAAATCTCTTCTGCGTAAATAAATGCTGAAGCATAAACTGTTGGATTATCTGATCTATATCTAATTTTTATTTCTGAGGAAAGGGAAAAGTATTAACATACCTGTTCACCAATCGGCGTCCCATTACGTTCAGCTACAGCGTATTGAGAGAGTGAGAACCACATTACAAGTGTGTCATGACATATAATGTTTATGAGGTTATCATTTACATGAAAAAGATCTCATACTTACTTGATGTTTGAACCTCCTGATCGGTATTGTAACTTGGTCTTGCACCAGGTGTCTTAGGTGAATTGGTTGCATATTGTGTAGTGTAATAATTTATTCCTAAAAAGTCATAGGATCCCTTCACCAGATTAGCCTGTTCTGGTGTAAATGTGGGAAGGCGGTCTCCTACTAATCGTCTCATAACTGGTGGGTAATCACCAGTAACCACGGGTGCTACAAACCTGAAAAAGCGCAAAATAGGATTGAGACTTGCGACCAGGAAGAAAACTTCTAAAGCAGGAGCCATTTTTTTTGTCTCAACTAAATTCTTCAGAATTGATTACTAAAGTTTCAAACCAACCGAAGAGAGGTTCTAATCACGTTCAAGTTTTTGCCCACCCCCAAACTAATTAAGTACTTTGGCTTCACAAAAGAAAAGTTTTTCCTTCTCCCCGAACTGATTCTAACTAAGTGACTCAAAAACTCGTTGACTCACTAGAATATTAAAGATTTGGACATCAATGATTCTCTATGAATACTGAACAATTGGAAACAGTTAAGAAATTCACAATTTTTTATACATAAAACTACCGAGAATTAACAAAGTTCTAATTGTACTTAAATAGTAAACCTTATGAAGTAACCATAACGACTAACTGACGAAGAAGAACCCTAACTAAAAATTCTAATTAAAAGATGTTTAAAATAATAACAGGTAAAAGCCAGCCCCTAATTGTGATACGGTTCAATCAGAAAATTAACTAAGTACTTGGGCTTCTTGAAACTAGGCAGAACCACTAACCATCCCAACGAAAAATCAACTGCCCTTGAAGCAGCTTCTTTATCAGCTGTTGTGTTATTGAGTGGCTCATACCATGCTGTAACATTTGTGACTCCTATCTTGCCCCCTTGGAGTTTCTGCACAAATGCATTTGCATAAACTATGACAAAATCTCAAAAGTGAACAGAATTGCTTGCATAAGATAAAAACAACAACCTGAAAGTTTTTCTTGTATATATCAACTGCTACTGCATGAGCAAGGATCAAATGATGTGCAACAATATACGGTTCAGTGCCTGGACTTCCATCGCTGCAAATAATTGGATCCTGAACATTGCATCTATGGCGATGGACAGGTTTTGTTACATGGTCCTCGTGTGTTGGACCCCGGCCAGGTGCAAAAGAACCTAATGCATATCCGGAAACAGAAAAGCTCCATGGCTCATTCAATGTGATCCAAAGTTTCACACGATCACCAAATTCCCAGAAACAAATCTCAGCAAAATCAGAAAAATCTTCCCTATAATACACAAGAATGTATCAAAAAAAGTTTCACTGTATAATACGTTTTAACTGCAACATTAACTTACTCAATTTTCGTATAAGAGCTGAACTTGATAGTACAGAAATCCAATTTGTCTAAAGGGGATTTCCAAAATATTTCTGAATAAATATCCTTGTTTCTTTTAAATTTGCTTTCTTTTTCCGAAAATTCCCAAGTAATTGTGCCTAGTTACGCAATTTTAAATTACTTACACAATTCGAGGGCTTAGAAAGCCACCATACTCGTCGTCCAAACATTGGGGAACATCCCAATGAAAGATAGTTGCACAAGGTATAATGCCTATAAAATAGTTTACAAGAATACAAGGTAAGATCTTTTATCATTTTAATTCCGCTTCTTAAATAAAACTACGTTAGTTTTAACATTTAACTCTTGAAGTAAACAAAAAATGATGAGAACATTATAGTAATTAATATTTAACATACAAGGTAAGAATAATTGTTAAAGATAAAAAAACAACACCTTCGCCCAAGAGCAAGTTTATGAGATCATTATAGTAATTAATTCCTTCTCTATTTACACCAGCACTTAATCTTCCTCCTGAAATACCAATTAAAAACACAACTAATAGATTGATTATTATTTTTGATAAAAAAAAAATGATGCAATATATGTATGCACACATATACCTGGTAATATTCTCGTCCAAGCAATTGAAAATCTATAAGAACCCAAACCCACTTTCTTTATCAAAGTCACATCTTCCTGAAACATTATTGAAAATAAGTACAAAGAATTTCTCGTTATTGTTTCCTTGTTATCGTGGAACTCAACAGCTAATTTGAAGGTGGAATATTTGTAATTAAAAAAGGACAGACTCATCATTGAAATCCAATGAAATTAAAATGAAAAAAAGGTTATATTTGAGTTATCCTTTTATCGTTTTTGGCTAAGCTTAACATGTTAGCTTACAACTTACAAGTAGTGGAGCTTAACTTATAAGTAGTGAAGCTATCACAACAAGAATTTTATGTTTTCCGTACAAAATTTATTTGTAGGGAAATGTTCGTATTTGTAGGGAAATGTTCGTATTTGTAGACGAAAAAAATTAGTAGGAACATTTGTGGGGCAAATATCGTGAGGATAGATATAAGACGACAACTTCTTAAAATTCGTGGGCTAACGTTTTTCCCTACGAAACCTCTGGAGACGAATATAATTAAGTGGAGTTATGACATTCATCGTAAGAGGCGAAAAAAATATTGAGGGAACAAAGTATATGTTTATGTTACATATTAAAAAGTTTCTACATATCTCTTAAAAAACTTTAAAATGTTGTGGAGTAGTCACCCCTTGCACCTCCGTCCCTACTCATAAGTAGATTTTTGTTAAATCTTTTGTTTCTATTAAAATTGAAAATAAGTTATTTGTTTGAGAGTATCATTTTGATAGTAAGTCAATATTATCCTTTCAAAGTATGTTACTATTTTATACTAAAATGAGAAATTAAATAAAAAAAATAACATACTTAATTTATTTGTGTGTGTGTGTATCATAAAATAGCTAACACTTATCAAAATAAGTAAAATTTTCAATTATAAATATCAAAATAACAATTTATTCAACCTAAGTTACATTTGGTATTAAGGGGATACATTTAGTAGGATTATGTTTAGTGAGGACTGGATTAGAAGATTGTACAAAGATGATGGTGTAGTGTTATAATAGAACATTCGATGCTACATTTTATCAAAAGAACATTTAAGTATTGAAATGTAAAAATTTATAACAGTATTTTCGTTGAGCTTATCAGGCAAAAAGGCGGTGGGAGTAGGCCTACACAGGCTAGGAATATTATTATCATGCCAATTGCGCAACTCTTAAAAAAGTAAAGTAAATTTACTTTTAAACAAATTTTGTCTTTAAATATGTTTGATAACTTACTTTTCTCTTGTTCAATATATATAGTTTTTTTTTTTCCAGAAGTTAACATTTAATTTGTGCCAAAATAAAAAACTTGCATATTTTTAACTTAGATCAATAAAAATGTTATTTTATTTTAAACTTGCTTGTTTACTTATAAGTTAATGCGTTTATATATATATATATAAAATAAGGCTGGACATGGTCCGACTATTCGGTTCTAATGAAAATCGAATCATATCCAAAATTTTCGAATATTTAGTAAGTAGAATTGTTAAGACCAAATTTATTTATGGAACCGTTCGGGTTTGGTTTCATTCAGTTTCAGATTCCGTATTATAGTTAAAAATTTTAATATTTACAAAACTACATTAATTAAACTAATAATATGTTCAATTTTAGCTCTTACAAAATAACATAGTTCAATCTTATACGTCTTTTACGTCTTTCTTTGTTGTGTATTTCATAGATTTGATTGTTAAAGTTACAAGAAGAGGAAGATAGCGAGCTCACAATAATTAAGAAAGGCGTTGTCGAGTTTCAATTCGATTACTTCAGAACGGTAGAAACGGTACTACGATAGATTAAAAGATTTGGATAAAAAAACTTAAATCAATTTGATTAAATTGGTTTTGAACTAAAAATCAAAAATAGGAAAATCATAATTTTGGGTTTGAGTTAAATTAACGAGTTAACAAATTTATTTAGAAAAAATAAAATAATTTAACTTATTTAAAATAAATTAATTAAAAATTTTCGGCAGATTCAATTCTTATTTAGTTTTTTGGTTCTAGATCAAGAATCGAGAATCAAACCAAACCTGTCAGTTCTTGATTTAAATACCCGTTCGGGTTATATATTTAACTTAAGAAGAATTGCTCGGTTCGGGTTCGATCGGTTTGATTCGGGAGTTTTTTTCTAGCCCTATTTAAAAGTACTCTTAGGGCCCGCTTGGAAGTTTCAAGGTATCGATTATAACCTTTTTCTAAAAGTGCTGATTTTAAATGTTTATGAGTAGATCAATTTTTAGTGACTATAGTAATAATTTTTAATATAGTCCAATCAATACTTGAGAGATTATTATCCATTCCTTTTGAATTTTTTTTAAAAGAATAAAATTACATATAACTTACTTAGTGAATTTTTTTTAAAAGAATAAAATTACATATAAATTACTTAGTGAAATTTTCAATTTATAGTTTCTTATATGTAATTTTTTACTTACAAATGATAATTTACTTATATATATATATATACAAAAAGTTAATATATAAGTTAAAAGTTAAAGAAAGTTAAATGTTTTATTAAAATTTTAAGTTTTTTTTTTACTTATAAATAAAATTTATAATTATAAATTAGTTTTGTAGTTTTAAATATTTCCTTTTTACTTATAAGCATTTTTTTTATATTTTCAAGTGAATTTTTGCGTTATTAGTAGAATTTTTATTTTGTAAAAAAAAAGTACATAAAACAGATTTATCTTAAACGTAATATTTATTTATTATTAATTTTTTAATTATAATATAATTTGTTTACTTATAAATAAATTTTTAGTTAATATATTTTTATGTACAAGTTAGTTTTGAACAAAATAAATTGGCCTGTAAATAATTATTTTATAAAGGGTAAAATTATGATAAAATATGAGAAACAATTAAAATTCGTCGATTTGGTGGGATACAAGAATCGGTCAAAATTACACTAAAATTATTTTTGGTTAATTTTAAACCACTCAAACCCAAAAATATCAAGCACTGATTTTTTTAACTCCTAATAAAAGATGCCACCCAAAATCGATGGGAAAAACTTCTAAGCACCACCTTATGGTATTATCAAAATAAATAAATAAATAGGTGACTTTTTAACATTAACTTCAATTAAATAAAAGAACTCTAAATTTTAAAAAACTTTCTTGGCCCCTGATTGATTGGATTAAAAATTAAATTTTTAACAGATTGTGATAAAAATTGATGAAATGAGTGGTTAAAATTGTATTCCCTAAAATTTATGCTTGAAAATGAATTTGGATAAAATAGGCTTTAAAAAAATGGGGGCTAAACAGGGACTTATTTAATTATAAGTGAAGTATTTGTTTACACATAAGTTTACATAGTGCAAATCATGTAAATTTTTTCACATTATTCAAATAAATAATTTGGTCTAAATCTTCTTATTAAGCGTATTATTTTAGTCCACGTGATTAGAGAAAGACTATCTCCGAATTAATATAATTCAAGTGTCATGTACACCAACACGGAATAAGTTTAAATTAAGGGTCTTGTGCTGTACAAGCAATTTATACCGCCCTCGATTTTTAATCGTGGGTCCATCCATGTGAGATGATTGTATAAATTGCTGTAAACCTAGCTCAATTCTTACATTAATTTCTATTCAGGCCCATCCAACGTTAAAAGTTGGAATAAACATGCTATAGTGAAGTACCTTCCACTGATGGTAGTGATCAATAGCCAAACGTCCGTTGCCTTTGTCTTGAATTTTATCTGTCACCTCAACAAAAATCCCTTAGAAAACACATATACACACTTGTTTGTGTGATGCTTGTGCGTGTGAGTGTGTGTCTATATATATATATATATATATATATATATATATATAGAGAGAG